TAACATGTTTTTTACCAAGATTAGCATGCACATTTTTTGTTTAGGACTTTTCCCTTGACAGACAGATTTATATTCCTTTTTTCTATTCTTTAAAATAAGTATGACTAGAGAAACTCAATTCGCAGCTTTGTCTACAAGTTCGATTATATTTTCTGTTTATTTGAGCTATACTATTTTATTTTACTGAATACTTGATTTTATGATCAATATCTAACTGATGTTCATTTAGATATTGAATTTGAATTTTGGATTTTTTTGTTTGTTTTGTGTTTAGTAAATTAATATACAACTTAATTGTAATATATAAAGAATCATAGCAGTCTCTTAGGTACACAATAAGCTGCGAGTACAATTTTTCTCTACTTCTTCCAAATCCAACCAAGACTGACATTTTAAATGGGCCCAGTACATCAGCGAGTCTTTAGGACTATATGTCCTAGAATTTTGTCAGATTTTTCTTGGTTAGTTTTTTTCTTTTTTTTTTTTTAAGTAGTCCTAGGTTTTGTCGACTATTATTATTATTGTTACTTTTGTACCCGAATTGATGGGTATATAATATTATGTCATTATTATGTTAGTTTTGTACCCGAATTGATGGGTATATAATATTATGTCAATTATTATGTTAGTTTTGTACCCGAATTGATGGGTATGTTAGTTTTGTACCCGAATTGATGGGTATGTTACTTTTGTACCCGAATTGATGGGTATGTTACTTTTGTACCCGAATTGATGGGTATACTAGTTTTGTACCCAAATCAATGGGTATGTTTAATGTAACTCCATCACTTTGGCAAGATATATATTTTATAGTGGAATAGGGGATGGTTAACATTTAGTTCCACCATTTTGACAAGATATTTTATAATAGAATAGAGTTACACTTAGTTCCACAATTTTGGCAAGATATTTTATAATGGAATAGAGTATGTTCAACATTCAGTATGAATGTAGTTATAGGAGAGTTGAATGATTGTTTGGTAACTTTATTTATTTTTTACTTGATGGATTATTTGGTTTATACTATTTATTTCGCCATATAACTAGCGCTTGCACATTCATGCGCTTATTTCGATTAGTGCGATATTGCTTTTGACCTAAATGGTATATAAATCCACACTTTTAGCAGAAGTTATTTCTTGCAACACATTGTGCATCATAACTATTTTGATATGTACTCTCGCATTTCATATACCGTATATTCTTTTCGTTTGAAATCTCTTTACAAGATTTGGTTTCTTTGGTGCCCTTTTACTGATCTTTCATCAGTCTCTATTGAATTGCTTCCACAATATTTATTTCTATTTTAGTAGAATTATCTTTTAACTTAAGATCTGAGGAAATGCATTTTTCTACGATTTGACAATTGAGATGTCATAATAAGACAATTTGCAAAACGGGAATTTTATGGGTGGTACATTATTTATACGTATTTATATAAATACTGTCAACTAATGATAATCGACAAATAACCAATTATGTTACTATTATTAACAAATATATTAACCGTATATCGTAGTCGACAAATGCGTCTGACTACCCCGTCAAGGATTGAATCTGAATAAAATATTATAAGTTATTATTATTATATTTTTTCCGAGAATTTTGTGTTTATAAATGATTATACTAAAATGGTTGTTCTAAAACAACCTGAAAAATAAGATGTTGCTGATGTCAACATTAATTATTTACATATATTTACAATTTAAAAAAAGAATCTGTAATTCAGGAATAAAGACTATTTTTATTTTATTTTTTATTAAATGATTATACCTACCTACCGTAATAATGTATGCTATTACAATTGTAGGCAACAATATTGTAAATGCGAATACTTGTACTTGTTGTACAGGTGGATAAATGGATTATTCTCAGTTACAAACACAGCCTTTTGAACTTATAAACCAACATAAATACGTAGGTAAATTTATGTGCCCCAACGGCGAAAGGGTAACCAACTCAGAATTAAGCAGAGAACTACCTGCAACGCTAATATTCTGCTGGTCCCTTGTAAGAAAAATAAAATCGTAACCTCAACTCTTACCAAATATCTGTCAAATAATGAAGTTAATGTGAAGTGTTTGAATATATCATAATTATCTTATGATAATTACATTTGTATTAGGTTTATACCTACATACAAATCTATTTATTATGGAAGCAACCTCTATAATCGGAACCACCAATTGCATAAACTTGTATCTAAATAGATTACAGTTTATGTAGAATTATGTATTTGATGGGCTTTGCTCATTCGGATTGTACGGTGTATTTTATTTGTCAGAATAATTACTCCGACTCGGCTAATACATGCAGGCACATTTTGTTGTATGTATAGTCAGTATTCGCTGGTATCCCCGAACCACTTATCTTAAGAATTCAACTGTTATAATCACTTATACTGTGATGTAAATATAAACAGAAAGCTTGCGGTACGGTATACCTAGACATCAACAAACGCCGACCATTTGTTTAGGCATGTATAGCAAGTTATTGTACGACTATGATGCGCAAACGCGTTAAAATCAGTCACAGTGTGTCGCTAAATTACAAAACGTACTATGCACCGTAATATGTTTTATCAATATTTTGCTTTCTCTATACAATTTACAGAATCAAGTCTTTATTTCTTTTTGAAATTGCTTTTAGTCTTTTCTATATTTAATAAATTGATTGAGAATTAATAAATTATCCTTTCTCTTCCTTGTGAATTTAGAAATTTAACAGTTTAATGTTATTCGTGTCAAGTTACATTAAAATAACAACGCGATAGTTACACACTCTTTGGACTGATTAGAACAGGTAATTTTGTAGTCGTATGACATATATATATATTTTTTTTACTTAAAAATTTTCACCTCGTCGCCAATTTTGTGCTGTCCTCCTGGTATGGTAGGTAGGTGTAGGAAATAATAAACAATAATATGTCACAATGCGACTCACACGACCACCCGCCCGGACGTCACCCAGAGGAGTGGCAGGAGCGGGGGGACTTGCAGTCTCAACTTTAATGAGTACATCACAGGTATAATAATTAATTTTGAAAAAACCCACTTTTTAATACGAGTATTATATGATCTGAAGCAAATATTACACCTTTCCGTCTAACAATCTCACAGCCTTATCTCACAGTTTAGACTGAAACTCCGTTTCATGTTAATGCTATAAATATATTGTCATAAAAAGGTGAAACAGCTATGTAAGCACAGCTTTTTGGCAGAAGATAAAGTTATTCTCAATTATAGTATATATATTTTTTTAATACATGAATATATTTTTACGCGATATCTTCGTGAATCGAAATTTCCAGTTATTTTTTAATAAAACAATCTCATATTAATTCAATAAAAATTGAATTCTGTTGATACGTTCTATACGTACCTACACAGTCAAAACTGAAGACTGTATTATACTTAAATAATGAAAAAATGTAAATAAAATCAATTTAAGTACTTGTTCGTTACCATTGATTATCTTGATGATGGTTTAACATCTGCTTTATCTTCCGATGGTCACGTATTCCATCCCCATACAATACGAAGATTTGTACTTATGAGTTTGTTTGTATTAATCTGGGTGTGTTCTAAATATGAAATTTATGTATTTAAAAAAAAAGCTAAATATATCTATGAATCGTCTGGTACACTTAGTTTGGAACTAGGTGGCGTTATATATTTTTATTATTATTTTATATGTTTATTATTATCATGAGAAGGAAAAGAAACAAAAAACTGAAGGAGTTACTAAAGGTAAACAACATGAAAAGTCGGGACTATGTCGCAAACTTTGACCACAAGATATGGGTTAACATATTATTATTCGGTTTAGAGGAAAAAACTCCCAAAAGGATATAATAGGGTTGTAACTTAAAACGAATAAAGTTCCAAGTCAGTTATAATTATAATAACATGAAATATATATTTTTTATGGAAATATTTAAGATATAATAATAATATACGATATATGTACGAGTATCAATGTAAAATTATTTATTGGGCATGGGTTTACCCCATAAGAGCTTTTAATTCTCCTGACGGTTATTGATGACAGATCTATATATATATATATATATATATATATATATATATATATATATATATATATATATATATATATATATATATATATATATAAGATTATATATAGATATATTATACTTAGATTGGCAAACAAGCTGATTACCCATCTGATAGAAAGTAAAAGAAATAGTTACCTATCTAAAAACATCAGCATTTTAAATATTTTTCTATCTTAAACATGTTTTTTGTTTTCACATTTTTGTTTTTATAGTATAATATAAAGCAATATGGCCATGTAAGTTATCTTAATTAATTATTTTATTTAGCCGCTGTCCTATTTGTCCTATAGCACATTAACACAATCAAATGGCTTTAGCAAAGGCTATAGTTTTCTACTTATTTGAAAATGATGCTAATTTAGCACTGTTTTCGTGTTATATTTTCAGCACACTTATAATGTATCTTTCTGTTTATACATATTAATATCAGTAGAGCGATCAATGTATCTAAGTCACATCTGCTTATCGGCATAGAATAGGCTACCCATTCCTTCCCGGTGGGTGTCGTAATAGGTGATTAAGGGAACTTAATAGCAGAGGGATGGACAGCGGTCTCCCTCTCGAATCATCTCCAAAAGTCAAACTGTAATTGCCAACCCGCTTGCCAAGCGTGGCAACTACTGGCAAAACCCACCTTATAAGGGAGGCTTATGTTCAACAATGGACAGTTAATGGCTGAAATGATAGGCCACACCAATTGCCTGGTTCTTAAGCAACCATAACCTGTGTATGGGATCCAGGGATCTAGTGACACCACCCAGAACACACAGTTTCCGAGCTAATCGGGAAAATGTATTTTTCTTAAATTAGCCTGATGAGGAATCAAACCGAGGACCTCATTTTCGCAATGCGACGTACCCACCACTGCGCTGCAGAGATTGTTTTAAATGTACAAACAATATACACAATATAATCAACTCACCATCTGTTCGTTGACGTACCACGTGATATTGGCTGCTGGTAGTGACGGCGGTGACGAGCAGTTCGCCCGAATGTGGTCACCGCCAACGTACGACATACGGTCGGAGGTCACGTTTGGGCTAATTAGAGGCGGTTCTGTTGAGAAAGGATAACAAGATAATTATTTAATAGTTTCCACAGAATAATCATATATAAAGTATCCTATGTGCTAAATTAAGATATAAACTAAACTACCCGGGTATCAAATTTTATTCAAATTCTTTATATATTTATTCACATTTTATTATACACACTAATATTACATAAAAAATATGACAGAGATAAGCAAATGTACAAAGGCGAGTTTAACTCTTAAAGAGTTCTCTTCCAGCAAGCTTCTTCTTCTTCTTCGTAGTTTTAGCGTGAAAGGATAACAAACATTCACGCATCTTTACTCACAAACTTTTGCATTTATAATATTATTAAGAGAAGGAAAATTTTATACTCTTTAAATTGTAAAATAATTAAACATCCAGTAGTATATAAAATCCCGATTTATAGACTAACTACCTTTTTCCAGCAACTCCTTACGCATAGAATATGTTCACTAATCGGAACAAAAAGTAGCCCACCTTCTTCTCCCTCCCATAAAGCATTGGTATACTAAATTTCATAGTGACTGGTTAAACCATTAAGGTGACAAATGTAACAAAGAAACAAACAAAGTCATTTTTACATTTATAAATAAGGATATGCCAAGAGTTTGAATTCAAATTCAAATCATTCGTTATTCAAATAAAATTGTTAACAAGCATTTTTAAATCGTCAATGAAATCTGATTGACACCAAATAATAGGTACTATATGAATTTAAATATCAACTAACTGTTAAGATGGAAAGTTACTTTTGTCAATACGATCCATAAGCATTCTATAAAATTTGTATTTGAAGATGTAAATATAAACATGTACGTCAAAAAATGCAAGAAAAGATGGAAATTAGAAAAAAAAAAATGAGAAAAAAGTAACAGTATTTAGGAACCTCTGAGTTGGATTGAGTTACAGTTATTGTAAGACCACAATATAATATTTTAATTTTATCTATAAATTGAGTTACACGAATAATATATTTAAATAAAAAGTGATATAAATAATCTGAAAATATTCGCAAATAATGTATCCAAACAATGCATAGAAATTGGAATAAAATGAAAACAAAAGTTAGTAATAAAGTTAAAACAGAATCAAAGTGAGCTACGTTGTTCTTTTATTTGAAAAAATACCTACCACCATTTAGACTCTCAATCGTATCTATAAATAAAACAACATACACACATATTCAAATAAAATAAAATATAATAAACTCAAAATGCGTCCAAAAATACATGGAGTATGGAAACAAAAGAAAACAATAATCTGATTCGAGTTCACTCGAATTGAGCTGGGTTTGTTTTTTATTGGTCAAAATACCACCCATACATACTTCTAATCATATCTACAAAATCGAGTAACACAACAAATGTATTTAAATAAAATGCAATATAAATAACCAAAAAAATATTTGCAAATAATGCGCCCAAAAAAAAAAACATGGAAATTGGAAAAAATGAGAACAAAAGATAACAATATTCCGGTTAGAGCTGACTCGGATTGAGCTGCGTTTGTTTTTGTCGGACAAAATGCCATCTGCGCTGTGAATATGCAATATTTCACAGATCCTAATAAAAGATTCGGGGAATGAGTGGAAAGGGTGGAAATATTGAAAAGTGGGCAGATGGTCGCCGAACGAACTGGACGCGTTTGTGTAGTGATGTTTATGAAAATGTGCCTACGAACATTGCGATATTTCGATAAACATTGTCGAGAACTGATCATTGTTTACTCTATTTTTGAATTATCTTATTGAAGATGTTATATAATTGTTATTGTATAAAAGAATGAAAAATAAAGAAACTAACACAATATGTATGAAAGCTGAATTCACTGAACATTATGTAAATATTAAATTATTTAATATTTCATTCTGTCAAAATAAATTATTCATTGTTATAAAAAATCATGCGGTGCTCCAAATAATGCAGTTTACTGTAATTATAAACGAATATACGTAAAATGCGTTATATGATCTTCATATAGATAAACTATTATATAAAACGCGGTATCGCGTATCTATATATAGACTTTTCCAACCAACACTTGAATACTGGGTACTGTTCTTTCTTTTTTTCCTGGATAAAAAGAGGATGACATGCTGCAAATACTCTAATAATTGTATTAAATAATTTAAGTTTATACCACTTTGCATTTACTTCTAGAATAAGGTTCCCTGACTGATCTCCATGCCCACAAAACAAGATATTAATATTGTTCAAGAAACAACGTTACAGCCTCTGTGAGGTAAAATGACCTTTATGTATTTAAAGGTAGAAAACAAAGTCAGTTAACAACGTGCCCATGAAAATTCTAACAAGATAGCACGTCCGGTATTTCATCGTCTTTTACGAGGACGCAGTAAGCTGATTTTGTTTTCCAGCTGTAAAAATAAAGGTAATTTTATTTTGCTACGGTTGAAACGTAAATGTACTTAGAAATAGAATTGTTTAGCATTTTTATTCTATTCTATCACCTTAGATATTTTATACAATAAGTTTAGAAAAAGTATTTTCTACATTAAAAAAAGAGTGATAATTAATTGATTTTTACAGTTATTTTAGTATAATTATCAAAATAAATCAAAATTTAACAACGTAAAATCATCATCATCATCATATCAGCTGTTAACTGTCCATTGATGAACAGAGGACTCCCCCATAAGGGCGGGTTTTGCCAGTAGATACCACGCTAGGCAGACGTTGACTGATTAGCAACCGTAGCTAGACTGATGATTTTTTAAGAGGAACGCTGCTGTCCATTCTTACGACACCCACGAGAAAGGAACGGTTGGTTCATTTTATGCTAGGACTACATAGCACAGAATATAATGTAGATCGACGTAAAATATACATAATAAAAAACCGGAGGGATTAAGAATCTTCTCTTTTTGGGACGTCACTTATTTTTTGTTTTTATAATTACTGCATCTGATTTTACAGTTTAAAATAAGAACATAATACAATAAAAGAAATACGAAGTCTTCACAAAGCGTAAAACTAGTTCCAAGTTGAAAGCCTTTACGCCTTTATGCCTTGACAAATATTGCTTAATATACGAACTTATACAATGTAACATTTAATTATTTTTCAATGATAATAAATTTAACAAGTGCTCATAAAGTAAACTAAATCGTTAAACATGCAATAAAGATCTCAACTGTCACTGAATATTATTTTGTAGTAAAAAGTTTTACAGGTGTTAATAATAAAGTGATAAATATATACACATTTTCCAATTTTTTTTTATAGATTTATATGAAATTTATTTCATAAATGATGTTTTACAACCACTTTTAAAGAACCATTCAAAAATATTTAATTTTCAATTTTATTATTTCTCTGAACATTGACGTATAATATGTTATAAACGTTGTCAAATTTTTATGAGCGAAATAAAATACGTTTTATATATTTTATTGGGCAAATACTATATTTTTAAAATATTTCATATTTATAATAACATCGTATTTCTTAAATCCTAAAAAAATAGAGCGAAACAATTAATAAATGTTGTTTCTATGCTGAAATTTCTTATATTTGCCGCACAAAGGAAGGTCGTAGGTAAGACGAAACTAAATAACATTCCGACAGCCCACGAATATTCTGTAAACAGCTTTATATAAATAAACAGGGACTAAGTAATTTAGCTTAAAACTGAAGGTGGGAAAAAACTCTACAAATTAAAAGTAAGCACGAAAATTTCTACAAGCCATTAACCCCATAATATTTCTTTTCGTGGGGCAACAGGAGTAATTATTTATGTAGATGTCCAAGAACGGAATGTGCACCTACATTTTTCACAATGAACCAGATTAAAAACAGAGCTCCCGAAGTTATACAGTGAAGTAAACCGAATGAAACTCGGAAGTTAAATGAAAGTTGAAATTGTAGCGTTCTGACATTTGGTAAAACAGATTAAAATTATACTATCTATTAACAATGATATTATTGAATGACTAGAAATTAGTTGGTTTAAAAACTCACAGATCGCCTTTGACTAACTTTGACTAAATTCAAAGTTAACTTAGGGATATAATATCAATATATTTACTGACGAAATAAATTTTAGAGAAAATAAGCACAAACATTACTCTTATTTGTATATATATATATATAGGGCGTCGCTGCAAATGTATTTAAAAAATGCAAACGCAAATGTATCTAGTGGCGTAGAGCGAGCAAAACATCACAGGACCATTCTAATACTAGTATAGATATGCTACTGGTAGTATCATATCAATGACTCTCTCCTTCTGTTCATGTTTTCTATATGGAATTTCTGGTATATTATGACAACCAACATGCATACATTATGGATTTTTTAATGAATAATAATGCAATAATAACTCCGCTACGCTAGAGAAGCACCAATGAGAGGTAATAGGTGAAGATAATATCAGGTCAGTTAGTCCATTGTGATGAATTTAACAATAAGTAAATACGTTGATTTCCAGGGGGATCCGTGTGAAGGTCCTCTTATTAGGGTATATAGCTAACAATGGGGACGTCATTACTAACCATTCTTCTCTCCCCCATATACAAGTATTATAGTCATATCACGGATGAAATAAAACTTAGATATTACTCACCTACTACAACCATCTCAGCTGCTTTGATATCCGTGTGGAAGAGGGGTGCATCAGCGGAGACCTCGCATTGGTACTCTCCTGTCAATGTCCGGTCCACTTGTGTCAGTACCACGCGATTCTGGTCTGATGCCGCTACCTACAGAAAGAAAAACATATTGCTTTAGTTTATAAGTTTTTTATATAATATTTAATTTTACACATTAATATGAAAAAATCTAAGATACATAATTGGAGACAAAAACGATGCGGATAATCGAGGATAATATGCACACATTTCAAACCATCCTGTGTCTGTATTTTCTTACAAATTTCATAAAAATTATGACTAAAACAAAAAGCACCTAAAATCAAAACTAAGTGTGCAACTCGAAAAAGAAAATCTCTAGACAGAATTTCATTATCTGTAGTAAATAACACCTTAATGGTGCTATTTACTACATATTTACTGTTTAATGGTAACCAATTATTTTTATTTAAGACACTTTTGAGTGTAAGTTTTGTCTAGAAACATGAATCTAGAGTTTTTTATATCGATGATTTTGTATTTAAAAATGTATTTAAATGTTATAAAACTTTTGAAAGATATCTCCGTTCAAATATTGGGTAAAAACATATATAATATTGTTTGATAGAAAAACTGACACATCATAAAACGTAGGCTTCATTGAAAATGCATTGGTTCCGTACACATACATCACGCGAACTAGTACCTACAATAAAATCTTTATGGCCACATCTATTGGTATTTTATATGGAACACAACAATCTATAGTAGCACATGTATCAATAAATTATACGTAAACAATATTTAGTGCTAGATATTGTCACGATAAATTCTTTTGTACTGTTAGATAGTTTAGATAGATAGACACTCTTTATTGTTTTCCTTGAATAATTGAAGTAAAATACTTAGTAAAAACAAAAAGTAAGTAAACACACACATATAACGATCAAGAGATCAAATATTATATATTTCAAATATTTATATATTTATTTAAGGAACTTTATTAACCAAATGTAAATATTTAAAATTAGAACACGTAATGGTGTATCTAAAAGTTTATTTTACTTTTATACAAAGAAAAACGTCAACTTTTATCATTAAATTTAATATGGATTCAACAAAGGAGTAAACTCTATTGATTGAAAAAAAATATGTGCAAAAATAGCTACAGAATTAAGGGCGACATATGACATTAGGAGAATTGAAAAGTCTCTTAAAAATTGCAATAAATACACGTACGAGTAGAACACACAGAGAAAACGATAAGTGTCTTCACCGCTAGGTCTTCATAGTAACTTTTAGTTAGAAACAAATATTTAATTTGATTTAGTTAGAAAATAATATTGTTATATACTATACTATACGGTTTATATTCTCTAAGTGTATTAGAATTCAATAAATAAAAAAAATATAGACCTATGTAATACCAGAGGGAGACCTATACAAAAGTTATTTGAATAGGTACCTCTATCCTATCAGTGTTTCTATTGCCAATCACGAATGCTTGGATGGCTTTGCAATGATTTGAAAGGACTACGGTAGAGAAATTACTGGGTACGGAGACATAATACCATAGTACTTAGAAATGGCAACGCATAAGGTGGGTAATATAAGCATTACAGTCTATGCTGGAACGTTCATAATCCTAATCAATTTATAGACAATGGTCATTACTTTCAAACAGGTGGAGTTTACGCTTACTATTTCACATTTGATAAGAATCTCTCCCTCATCTTAATACAAACAAAAGAGATATAATTATCATCATATTAGCCGGTGAACAGTTAAGTCCATCGTTGAACGCAGACGTTCCTTTATTGGGAGGTTTTGCAAATAGTTGCCATGCTCGGCAGGCGGATTGGAAACCGCAGATAGGTTTAGGTAGTGGTGAAAGTGGAACGCTGATATCCATGCCTCGACCATTAAGTTCCTTTAGTCGCCTTTTTTTATACAACTTAGAATGGCAAACAAGCTGACGGCCCACCTGATGGAAAGTGGTAACCGTCACCTATAGACATGAGCAGTATCATGAACATAACAGAGTATACTGTTTCGCCCATGATACCCCCCATGCGTTACCATTCCTGAAGACTCAGGTGTTATTCCTTTGTACCAAGTAAATTTACGCCATATCCCACCCTTAAAACCGAAATACAGCCATGCAAATACTTACGATACTTACGAAAAGGAAAATTCTATACCGGAAGCACACGGCAATAACGACAAAAAGAGACATGTATCATGTCTATGTAAGATATATATAGATATAGTGAATCGTAAACAAATATCTCTAGTTGCAGTCGAATGCGATTCCGACCATATGGAACCGTTAGTTGGAAAAGCTGATCTGTGAACTTTCGAACGTGTTACGGAATTCCGCCGCGTCTCTAATGGGGGAATACATTAGGAAAATTACAGCATCAAATATGATACGGTGCTGTGGAAATTTAATCAAAATTACGTGCCCGTGTTTTGTGTCATTGTGATTAATTTTTCCTTAAATGATTTATTGGATGTTTTTATAAATAAAAAAATTAAATAAAAAATTGTAAGCGTCTACAAAAAAAGGAGATTTATTCGCTTCATTTGTATCTTTTATGTATATATTTTACGATGTATTATCGTCAATTTCAAACATGGGAATTGTGGCAAAAATCTGTAAAATTATGACCGTCTAGTCATTTTTACAATCAATGGGGTTCACTCTCGTATAAGTCCCATAACATTTTCCCGATTGAAGTGGTGGCTTATCGTAGCACAGTTATACGTGCCTTCGTAAGCAGGATGCAAGTGACAAATTATTTTTAAATTATCTAAACATGAATTTGAAAATTCAGAGGTTTAGGCTGGTTCAATGTTCCAATCCCCGAAGTCGGGCATTATTCGCTTGAATTGTCTCCGCATTGATTTTTAGATACTATCTGAATTGGTAAGGATCGATAAGTATCATGTAATAAATTGTAGCCCTTTTTTATTTAACTTAGAAGGGCAAACAAGATTAAAACCTACCGGATGGAAAGAGGTAAACGTAGCCTATAGACATGAACAGTGAACAGTACCATGGACATAACAGAGTAGGTATACTGTATTACTCATGTACCCAACATACGTTGCCATTCCTGAAGAATAATGTGTTACACCTATATACTCTATAATTTCATGGCCATTTGTCAGCGTCCAAACCGAAACATAGCCATGCAAACACAACTGCTTCACGGCATAAATACGAGTTTATTCATTACCAGATACAAATATAGAAGAGGATGGAAGAAGTTGTTAGTAACGGAAATTAGTGGTGCTATTACTAACAATACATACTATCAGGTCAACCTCTACGTGGTAACCATAGTAATTAACACCTGGTGATTTCGTTACGACAGGTTGACTGACCCAACTCATCCTTATTTATTGTTACTCGGTGGTATCCTTCTAGCGCATGCAGGTATGATAACCATTCTATTTTAATTATATCAACAAAATATGTACATTATTATAAATAAATTTATACTTACATCGACTTTTATCTCGGATACCGGGAACACCTTTGTTGCTGGCGATTCCTTGGGCACATATCGATAGAACTCCATCATATTTTTGTACCATCTTATTGAATATAGTTGCGCCCCCTCTAATTCATATCTACACATGAGCTCGGCATTCTGCCCCGTTAATACGGCTTTTGGTACATCTATTTGGACGGATTTTAGCGCGTTGACTGTACCTGAAAATAAAAAAAAAAAAGATGCTGTAGAATCGAGTTCATTTTTAGTACAAAATAGCTATGACATATGAAAGTGGATGGTTATAAGGACAGAGAAAGTTCAAAAAAGAGATAAATCGATTGTGTGAAAAATGACATGGTCAGAAAGGGAGTGACTGAGTGAGACGACTGCAAATAGAGATGAATGGAAGAAAAAAACGTATTACGCCGATCCCAAATAGATATAGGAAAAGAGCAGGAAGAAGAAGATAAAATAGTTATGACAGACAATATACGTAGGCAATATAGATTGTATACGAAATCTTTATCTTCCTTTAAGGATGTATTCTAGAAGTGAAAAAAGTAATTTTCAAAGTAATATGGAGCGATAAATTACAATAAAAGTTGAGCCTTAAATAACATGTCTGTGTGCGCCATATTAGAACTAAGGATTCAATGATCAGTATTAGGATTAAATTTATAAATAATTTTATATTAATTTTGTTTCGCATTATTAAGGTAATAATAAATAATACTACTATTAAATAATAATAATCAATATATTTTATATAAATCTACTAATAATTGTCTGCAAATTATTCAATTTCGTTTTCATTTACCTATCTTGTTAATCAAAAATCTGTAAGATAAAAGAAAATTTAAGTAGCGAGATAATCTGAAGAATTATCTAGCCATTTATCTAGTATTTTTAAATTATTATCTTGTAATTAAGTGATCTTTATAATGTTCAATAGGAAAAGTAATTATCTTTTATCTTACTCGTAAATTGAAATAAAATACGAGTTTGTGTTTTGTGCCAATGAATTTTATGACCATCACAATTGTTTGTTTGTTTATTTACCTTTTAGCACTTTAACAATGCAGTATGCCCAAATATTATAAAATGTAGCATACATTTAGTATTTGAGATAGCGAAATTATTACACGCAGGTTACTTTTTATGCCAGTCAGTTAGCATACCTAGGTCACATATTGCAGGAAAAGTCGCAGGTAAAATGTAATATAATTTATATGATTAGTGCAAAAATAACAGTAACAATTTTTATTTTTTAGATAAGTAGTCCATAAAATAGCCCTTTATGGGTCATTCAAAAAGTAAAAACTTCACGAAACCCTTCTTTTGTGGAGCCAGTAAAGGACTCGTCTCTAATAGGCAATTTATTTCCAACGTCATTTCTCTGACACTCTATATAAAAGTTAACACCGACCGTTTTAACCTTCACAGATACAAAAAAAGGATGAAGGGAAAAAGAAAGCCATTAAAATTGGAAAGAAAACAATGGCGCCTTAGGTTGATCGCACCATAACTACCAGGAGCGCAGTGAGAGCAAGAGTTTCGTCATAAGATTTTATGATAACACCCGTGCAGTACATTTTTACCTTGAAAGGTAGCACTGAAGGTGAGGAAAGTAAATATCCAGTTTATGGCAGCTCGTTAGAAGTTAGGTCATAACGTTAAACGACGTCCCCGCTGTTATCGCTACTTTTTGCTCTTCAAATCTGGGGCTTAATACTTCTTGAACTTATGATTGCCTGGTAGGTGATACGTGTTTGGGCCCCGTCACTGATGTTCTTAAATCGATTTCTATATGATGACCCGAGAATTGCTTTGATGTTAATGTGTTCTATGAATCGGAATGGATATGGGCTTATTCGAGGAAAAATATATGATATTTATCGAACTGTGAGCAATGAATAGCATCGTATTTCTGGTAATCATTTATACCTATAGATACATGATGAAATCAAATTCGTTAGCAGCCTTTTAAGAAAGGGTACCAGTAAAATATGGATTAAGAAGGGACAAAAAAAAATTTCTACATTAATTTGAGCTTTAGACATAGTGTCTTAGTAAGAGGGCTATACGAGTTTATATAGATACTTTCATAACCTTTAAGATGAGCTCATTCCCAGGTAGCAAAGTGACGTTTGCGACTCGAATAACGTCTGTTTTAAGTCATTTTAAAGTCTATGACTGCAAATCAATGTCAATATGATGTGTAATTGCTACCTGAGTTCTAATTGGAAAAAATAATTTGGTAACTCCTCTTTTTAGAAGTAGAAATTCATATTGATAAATTATTATTAAATAATTTTAGTAAAAACAAAAATGTCAACAAAATGTATAAATTAAGCTTTTCGGTGGCCTTCTGGTAACCTAGATTTTTGGCATACAAAATTTTTATGTTTTACTTCAGAATTCTGGCAGAAATAAAAGCATATACTATACGATCGGGGGTATTGAACTATGATATTTCAGTACGAATTTTATATTCAGCACGATATTGCGCCAAACAACAGGGCAAACAAAGAGATAAAAGCTTTTTAAATCTCCAAATTTATGGTTTGTTTGCGCAAACGGAATACTATTTGGTAAATCCTAGTGCTCGCGGACCGATATTATTTTAATACGTATTGAATGGGGGTCATTTTATGCGAACTCACGCGTTTGATTGTGAAGTAAAGTTTGCTGTTTCCTAGATTTTATTGGGGGTTTCTGATGCCATAAGTGGTAAAATGTGGAGGTATATCCGTAGAGCGCAAAATTGGGATGTTTGTTTGTTATTCTAATGGTTTAGCTTGTTAGTTCAAATATTTTTAATAATGAAAAGTTTCTATTAAGTAATTGAATTTTGTCACAACTCATGCAAGTTATATACATTATATTTGTGTAAATGAGCTTGTTTATTTCCATTGGCGAAAATAATTTAAATTGTACTATACCCATTCAGACGAAGACCATAAGCAATGTAATCGTAAATCAAAATATGCTAATAGCAATTTAAGCATAAACAAAAATAAATAAATATGCAAATATGCTTATGACTATAATCCGTGATGGGATAGTCAAAATTATTTAAGAACTGTTACCATTGTCCAACAAGCTCACATTTTACCGAACATATTATAGTAGCAGGACGTGAGCCTATTGTTTTTTCTTGGTATAAAAAAAATGTTAAAAAACTACCGAGATTGACAAATTAAATTTTGAATAATCAATCGAATGTGTGCAAAGATACGATTTTAATTCCATTCAGTAAACTGGTGGCCTGATTGAAAACGTATTTAAATGTAACAAGCTGTTAGTTTTTTTTTTTATGACTTGTGTCACATACGGTGCTCGTCCGAAATTGCTTTTCCACTTTTGAATGAAATGTTGACTATAGCTTTTTGATCCGTTCGATCATTCGTTTCGCTGACGAATGACAACTCGCGGTTTGTCGAAACTATTCGAGTGGAGGAATCGATTTGACGAACCCTCGGATTAATTTGTTCTGGTGTTTTTGAATATTCATTGAACAGTTTTGTTTTTGGACGGTGCTACAAGCTGCGGTAGTGGAGCGTATTCTGAATATTTAATGCATTTATATTCGCTATTATGTTGGAATTTTACAATTAATAAATAATAAATGTTCTGAAAATAAATTTAATGTAATTTACATTTGGTTTACTTTCTTTGTTAATAGATACTGCTACAAATATGTAGCTAATTTCAAAGTTTTAAAAACAGTATATTAAATTTTTAACGACAAATAATATTAAATTAAAATAATATTCGCCTGTTGTACATTTTCAGTTAATACGAACTTTAACTGTGTAATTTTTGGGTACAATAAAGGATAAATAAATAAAATAAATTCAGAATGAAAAAAAAGTTACGAAATTAATAGCCATGATGCTGAAACAAGAGAATCTAAACACTTTAGAGAAAATATACTTCATTTTTGCCACATATTATGCAACATAAATTTTTTTAAATGATAAAAACAAATAAAAAAAAGTTTGAATATATATGTATATATAAATGGTATAGAATGGTGGGGCATTAATAAAGAATGATGAATTAACTACGATGGTTTCCATGCGAGATCCTAAGGTAGTCGAATTAACAATAATATAACAATATAATCTTTTAATCTTTCTCTCCTTTAATAATGTTAATTACAAAATTAAGAAACAGAAAAGAGCAAAGGGCAAACCCTTCGATGTTAATAATAAAATAAAATAGTTTAAATTATTATCATCAATTGTATTAACATAACTCCACCCGCCATCCAACCTATCCCTTCCAGCTTCTTAAAAGCGATCGAGAGGTAGACGATAGTATCGTCGTAATTGGAAATAATGCTATTGTCAACCTTGAAAAGTGGGAAAAACTCCTTATTAAGTGCTTAATATAAAATGGTCACAGTCCATGGCAGTCCAGTTTTATTAACTCCTGGCTTTTAAGAAGTTATAATAAATATTAATTAATATTATTGTTAATCAATTAATTTAATTAAAAAACAGCCACATTATCTGTGACAGTCATAAGAGACTGTATTCTGCAAAATTTGCTCTAAAAAAAATCATGATTCAAATTTATAATATTGAGAGATTATTACATCATTAATTATTAATATTAAATAAAATAAAAATCCATTTGTCTATCTATTTAAATGTAATATAATTTGCAACGCTCTGACATCATGTACAGAACTATATATTAATATTAATAATACAACAATTATTTAAGTGAGTAACATATATTTATCTAAAACTCCATTAAAGTTTTCCAGGACTTTAGAAAACAACTCTCGTAACTTTATCATTTACATCATACTGTGAAAGCGTCAAGTGAAACTTTATGAAAATATATACAGTGTTTAAAAAGAGTATACTGAAATTATGCGAGTAATAAGTGAAGGTAAAAAATTAACCAACCAACCGTGTGCTTGTTATTCTAGTGAATTCTCGACGCTTTATCGAGATGGTTACAATATATTTTTAATAGGAGTTTATTATTATATTAAATATACTGAAAGTATGTTATTTTACTACCTATATAATGTTTCATATTTCCCAGATCATTTTTGTTATATTTTAAGGTAATATTTTAAGTAAAATTCATTATAATGATTTAATTAAGTATTGAACAATAACCTCATGTAATACTAATAAAATACGTCTTAGTTATTCCAAACTCAAAAATTAGTCAATGGATTTAAAAAAATCTTTCA